ACTGTTGACAAATGATTAATATTGTAAATTTCACATCATATTAAATTTACAAAATTAAAACCATGTTTCAACAGTAAGCAATATAATCAAGTGATGACAAAGACAACTAAAAAAAAAATGAACAATTATATTAAGATTACAAAAGTAAAAAAAAAAAAAAAAAAAAAAAAAAAAAAAAAAAAAAAAAAATCATTCAAAACTGAAATTTTTATTATTTGTTACTTTAAATAGTAAAATTCATACTTTGCTTTATTTTAAAGTGTCTAATGTAAAGTCAAATAATAGACATCAACAGCGCTTGACACTGAATTCTGCCAAGTAAGTTTTTGGTTCATCAAGCAAAATTTCTTATATTTCAACGACAATTAATTTTATCATGCCTAGATCTATTTCTTTCATATGACAACAATTTCAAGTCACCTATAACCATTTACACTAATAACTTCTTCGAGCCTAATATTATAAATCTGTTATCATTAAATATATATTACCAGTGGTTATGCTACTGTTACAACTGAATAAATGAATGTTTTATATTTTTACAACTGAAAAATATAAAACAAAATTTATTTACATTATTTTAATTTAGCAAAGAATTTAGAACACAGTGCAAAGTTATTTGCATTGTGTTCTAAATTCTTTGCTAAATAAAGAAAGCCTTCACGCACAATCTTAATGCACAAAAATAATAAATGCAGAATCTTGTATAAAAAATGAAGCAATGTCAGTCTAAAGTAATATATATGTATGTATATATATTCAAACTTTTTCTATTCTTAAATTTTTCTGAGATAATATTCATATAGATTCAGAGAAATATAAAATATTCCGATATATAGGCACATTTAAGTATATAAACTTACCTGTCAAAAATTACAGTCAGTTTTTCATGTTAAATACATAAAATATATATCTAATATAAAATTAAACAAAAAATTAAACTTACTCAAATCAGTAACAGTTCGACTGTCTAAATATTTTTATTATTAACCCTTCTATTTAAAAAATAAAAACAAATGATTTGAAGTAACTAAAAAGCACTTTAGCTCTTTCCAATTGCACTAAAAAATAAAATAAATCTTGCTTGCTAAGTTGATTAATTCTTAAGAATCTGATAACAAATAAGTAAAAAACCAAGAACAAACAAACATTTATTTACTAAAACTACTCTATTTAAACAAATTAAAGTATACAGAGAACAACATTGATACTCCTTGAAAGCTGAAAAACTTTTTATCTCAAATTTGCTTGTAGACCTTGCTTATGAAACCACTTGAATAAGAAAAGCATCAAAAAAGCCTAGAAGCTGGTATATGCTACATTGAATTTTAAATGTTGATTGGTGTAGATATTTTTAAAAAATTCAAAATGATTTGTTCTTCTATAGCAAATAAATACACCATAAATCTGAAGTTAAAAATGTAATGAATAAGTAAATACAAAGAAAAACATCATATGTGAATTAAAAATCAATGTACCTGATAGAGATAAGCTGCGGTGATACCTGAGTAGTATCACCACATACACGTATTTATCAAAAAAATTTTAACTTTGATCACAATATAAATGCAAACAAATATGCAAACTTTTAACAACTATAAAAGAACATTTATTAGCATCAATTATTTTTATGTAACAAAGAATGCAGACTACAATGCACGACATTGTTAATAAAAATGAAGTTATGTCAGTCAGTATATATTTATCTAAAGTAGTGAAAAAGAATAAACCATTTAAAAACAAAATTAAAAATTTTTAATGAATATATATTTAGATACCTTAAAATGAAGCATAACACAACACTCTTTTGACAAATTCCAGAGCAAATTTTTAAAATTTTTCTATTCCTTATTATTTTATTCCTTATATCGATAAAATACATATTAAATGCCACATTCAACTAATGTAATTAATACCTTTATTAGATCTCTCTTGATTAACTAAAGAATTTAAATTTTAAATAAACTCTAACTAAATTTTAACAAACAAACAACCAAAATAAATCTTCATATTAATAGTACGTTATTAAGTTGATTAATAGATCAAACAATTTAATCTACTCTAATAATCTACTACCTTATTAATAAACTTTAATTTTTTTTCTACGACTCAGTGTAACTATAATATAGATATTTTTAAAGTAAAAAAGAATTTAATACTATAATATATATGATTTTAAAAACCTGAAATTTTAAATATACCTCGAAAAAAACAGATATATATTGAAAAGTATTTTTATTTCTTTTTAAAAATTTAAAAATGCTTTATAACTTACTTGTTTTGATATTATCACCAACGTCTAAATAGAAAAACAAACAAACATTCAAGTCGACTCATTTGTAAATCTTATAATATATATGATTTAAAAAACCTGAAATTTTAAATCAACCTCGAAGAAAACAGATATATAATAAAAAGTATTTTTATTTCTTTTTAAAAATTTTAAAATGCTTTATAACTTACCTGTTTCATATTATTACCAACGTCTAAATAGAAAATTAAAGATATATGAGTTATATATAGGATTTTAAAATATATATGATTTTAAAAAACTGAAACTTTAAATCTACCTCAAAGAAAACAAAGAAAAAATTTCTTTTTAAAAATTTAAAAATGCTTTTTAACTTACTTGCTTCAATATTGTCATTATCTAAATAGAAAAACAAACAAACATTTAAGTCGACTTATTCTTAAATCGAGTTTAATTTCTTCAATAATAAAAAAAATTTAATCTTTGAGGATTAAATTCATTTACAAAAATCCGTTTAAACCATTTTAACATTGTAAAGTTAATTTAAAGTTTTAAAAACTGAAACTTTAATTCTACCTCAAAGAAAACAGATATATATTGAAAAGTATTTTTATTTCTTTTTAAAAATTTAAAAAGACTTCTAAACTTACTCCCTCCAATATAATTATATAATATATATAGTATGTATGATAAATAAACCTCCACAATTTCCTTGGTTTAACAACTCGATTATGATTTATAACAACTCTGTAAACATGAATTTTCTAATAACCTAAATAAATTACAGATAGACAAACATAAACTAACACAATTAAATCCTAAACCAAAATTCATTCATGCAAGACAATTAATTTTATATTTATTGAAGAGCCAGAAACATATTTTTTTTCAAAGAGCTAAAGTATTAACAATATTAAAGACAAATTTTATTTATAACAAAATTTTCAATTAAGATAAATTTATAACAAAATGTTGTCATGGCTTTTATCCCAATAACCAAAACTAAGTGAAAGCATGAAACTACCCATAAATATATTTTAACGCTAGACACAAATTAAGAATTAAAGTAATCTATAACACGAAGCTTTAAATTTAAAATTACAATTTAAAAAAGATTACAATAAATTAATTACTTTTAAATTTAAAAAAAAATTAGGTTACCTATAATTTTAAGCTACTAAACATTATCTACTTAATGTCAACTTAGATATTTTGAACTCGTACCATGAAAGGTTGAAGGGAAATCTGTAAGTAAGCACGCGGTAAAGAAAAGTCTAGAAACTACTTAAAAAGTGTATTTTACAGATACAGAACCGTACCGTAACTATAAAACAATACGCGTAACTATGCGCACTATTAATATTCATAGGCTATTCATTATAGGCGATTAGTCATGCGTGGTAAAATGTTTTTATCAAATAATCTACTACATAACTCAATACAAAATTTGTGAAACATCATTTTATACTATAATACAAATGTTTTTATACGATTTATATTTAAATCATGATATTAGAATATTATTTGTGATCATAATATCAAAGTGAACCGCGAATGTTAAGATATTTTGATAATAAAGAAAACTATATCATAACATGTTTACTGTAGTTGGTTTGTTTATTAGTCATTTTGTGAGGATGGCTAAGGAATTATTTCGAAAAACCAAAATTTTGAGTGTAACATGCATGAAATGTCTAGTAAAGCTATAACAAGCACATTCTTGAGTTTTATCTTTATTTCTTAATCTTAGTGCTTCTACTATGATAAGAAACTTTATGCAAACAACAACAACAAATAAAAGCAATAGGAGCAACATTTATTATAATAATAAAATCATAATATCATTATATTATCCAGGTTTTATACAATTGTAATTGCTATCTCTAAAGCTATGGTGATTGTTTATATTTTAGCCAATTTAAAAATCAACTGATTATACACAGGGTATATACAAATGAAAATACCATATTGAATTCTGGTGTATTTTTGAAGAACATTTTCAAAAAGTATTAAAGTTTTAGTGTGCAAGAAAAGAAAACTAAAGATTTTCTAATTAATGAAAAATATGCATCATGTTTTCGATAATATTTTTGTGTATCTTTTTACGTAACATGGTTTGATCAATTTTGACAATGTTCCCCATCTAAATTGGCAGGAAACATTAATTATTTTTTGTCTTCAGTTTTTATTTATATTAACATTTTAAAAATAATATATCAATAATATATTATTCTTAAATTTTTTTTTCTATATTTATTACATAAAGGAATATTGTTTAGAAAAACGTTATGATATAATATATTATAATAGTATTAAAAAAGACAACAGGAAAAAATTTTTTTTGCTATAAAATTGCATATAACTATTTTTTTATGCTTTGAATTATTTTTGTAGTAACTTGTAGACTTATTTTTATTTGTTATACAGGAATTAATAAAGTATAAAAAAAAGGTCTTTTAATCGAAATTGTAAAGCAGAGCAGTATTAGCAAGAAAGCACACAAATGCAGAACACAAACATGATAACATTATTAGATAAGGGTGTAAGAGGGCAATGTTTTGTTAAATCAGGACTTTCCCCATGATTAAAGATTGATAAACAATAAATTGGCGCCTAGATGGTAAAGCAAAGACAAGGAAAGAACGACAATACTGCTCAATATTATTAGAAGAGAATTCAATGGTATGCTTCTTGAAAAATAAAAATAGATGCTTGCAAGGTATCAATATTGCACAATTGACCGAATTAATGTAACATACATTAAAAATAAGAGATTGTACCAACAAAAAGTTATGTGGAGGACAAAAATAATACCCACTATCACCTGCTGCAAAATTGGCATTAAAAAATCAACAGTATGTTTTTAAATAGCTTTCATTTTTAGTATCTTTAGCACTCATAGCTGAATTGTATTCACATAAATTAAAAAAATTTTTAGTTTTATGATCTGTTTGCATAATTTTTTTCAGATTTCAATGTTCATTTTGGTTATGATTTCATGCAAAAGATGATAATTTAACAATCAAAGGCCAGGGACAAGTCTCAATCAACAGAGCCTTCAATTTTACAAGGAAAATGGCTCGCAATCACTAGGTTTGTTTGTTATTGAAAAGATATTATGTCATATTTCTAGAGAATACATATTTACCTAATCTTTCATATTATAATGTGTTTCTCTTTAATGCTCTTTCCTCCCTTTTTAAAGTCCAAATAGGTATAACCGATTTAATCAATTATATTTTAGATGCACTAGTAGAGTAACTTATTGCAGTTGCACTTATGACCGAAACAGAGCAAATTGAGTAAGAGATTTGGAAGGAAATATTGACACAACAATTTGATGAGTATTAGAAAGAGAACGATATTTAAAGAATTGTAGTCCTATTATCAGATGGAAACTGTTTGAGATTTTATTATCACGTTATATCATTTCTTCAATAAAAATGAATGACTAATTATTAGACCAGGTAAAAGTATTCATCACGACAAAATGTTTATTGAGGCAAATGCGTTAAACGAAGAAGCACTTATGCTTATTTTAGCGAATATGGGTTAAAAGGGGAATAAAACCCTCTCTGATATAAGCTGCAAAGCGAGTTGATATGACCAATTCAGCTTTGAGAATTGAATGCATGCAACAGGATAGAGCAAAAAATTGTATGGAGACTATAGAGATTTATCTAAATCTCTATAGTCTATCTAAATCTATCAATCAAACCGACACAAATAACTCAAGTGCATGGTAATCAAGAAAGCTGAAGATGTTTTGATTTTAGTTAAAGACATAAATAAAATAAAATAAAAACTTCAAAAACAACTGCAAAATGCATGGGAAAAAAAAGAAGAGATGAAAGTCATCGTTAAATATACTGGAAACATTTGTAATGTAAAAAAGTTGAGGGAATGCTCAAAATGGCACAGTATTATGAAATCCTAATGCAGCAAGTTAAGATCGCGTGTTGATGGAAAAACCTACAATGATTTTTCCTGCTCCAGTTTTGCAAAGAACAGTGACAAATCGAACAAATAGCTTATTTAACGCAGATGTAGAGAAAAATAAAAAATTTATGAATATTAAATTTATGTATAACTTAAACATTCTTCTAAAATGCTATGCTTCATTTATAATGTCATGTTATAATAAACATTCTAGTTGAGTTATTTGACGTATATGTTTGCACCTCAAAAACCTCCTTACTATTAAGTTTAACTTGAACCAATAATATCAAACATAATACTTATTATTGATTTAACCGTTTGATTATTATTGAAAAGTACAATCAAGAGTTTATAAAAAAGTCAACATTGCTGACTGACAAAACTAACATTTGCATTTTTAAAAGTATTTTTACTGAAAAGATTAGTATAAAAAAAAAGATAAAATTTTTGAAAATACTCAAAAAAGTTTGTTGTTTTTTTCAAATACTTTATGTATTTTCAAATAAGTTTTTTTTTTTTTTTTTCTTATCACAGAGCACCGCGAAAGAGCATTTAATAGGAAGTTCACGCCTCCTTCCCAACCGATGTCGCAAAACTTGCCCAGAGGTGGGGTTTGAACCACGGATCTGTTGGACGAAGTTGTAGCCAGGCCGTGTGGTGTTTAAGAAGGCTTTAATTTTTATGGTACATATACTTGTACCATAAAATATACCAAACAGATTAATAGATTAAGAATCCCGCAAAAAAATTAAGCTAATTAACATTTTTCAATAGCCTCGATTCCCAAACAACGGGCAAAAAGTTTATTAAGATATCACTTCCAAAAAGATTTAATTACATTACGTTATTTTTGATTACTTTAAATTTACTTTTATTATCAATTATTCCTTTGAATTTGTTTAAAAAATAAATAAACTTTTTAGCACAAGATAAGACACTTTTTTTTGTTAAGTACCTTAACAAATAAAACTACCTTGTTTTTTGTAAAACTCCGTATCGATAAAAGATCTCAGTTTACCAATATGATCTGTGACGGCGCCGTAATGTTCTGCAGTATACTTGCGATGCCAATAATAAACTTGATTTAGAGTAGGATTTTCTCTAGCGTCTGCTAATTTTTGCTTACTTGCTTGACCATATTTAATAGTAAGTTTTTTTCGATGAATACGTCGCGCTTCGCCTGGTGTCATATCGTTCGAGAAATATTCGTTAAAAGTTTCCTAAAATGTTAAAAACTCGAATTTACTTATTACTGGTTTCAAACGTTTCATAGTTATTTATAGTTAACTATTTGTCTCTATTACATGTTTTTTTAAACAACATTTTTACGAACAGTTTCAATAACGTAAAGATTTAACTTTCGAAATGCTCCAAATTTAAGAAATTTCAGACTGCTGCTTAAAAAGTGTTATATATATATGTTATATTCATATATAAGTGTTTCATATATAATATATAGCGTAAAAAGGTTACCTGTAATATACTGTCGCTTTGAAGAAAACGTAGTGCATCAGCAGAATTGATGTTGTGATTATGCGTATTAAAAATTTTGACAACACACGCAAGAGGTTCTTCTCTGCATAAAAAGTTGTCATTTTTCTTAGTTGCGCAGTTCACCTTTTTAACTTTAACATCAACTTTTAATGGACAGTTAGTGTTACGGTAACTTTTTTCTTTTGATTTGTTTTTATTATTATGTTGACATAGCCAAATCTTATGAAACTCAAATCTAATTAAATAATATTATATATATTTAGTTATTTGAAAATCATATTCACATTGAGTTTACTATAAAGGACTCAATAAAGCTATAATGTGGACTTAAGTGCCCACGCAAAATTGTTCTACGACCTTTTTAATTTATTTCTACGCATATTTAAAAAATAAACTTTAATTAATAACTTTTAATTCATTAAATAATTTAAATTTATGTGTAGCAACATAAACTTTTTAATTAATTTTTGTTTTAAAATTTACAAATCGGAAAAAAATTTCATTCTCAACAGGTTGTATAAACTTTAATTTAAAAGCTAATGACTAGCAAACATCATTTTATTAAAGCTTTATAAGTATGGAAAACAACTATTACCATTAAAACTACATTAAACACAATTTTTTTTTTAATTTTGGCACACTGTGCAGTATACTGATAATTTTCAGCAAAATCTCCTAAAATTAGACATTTGTTTTGGTTAAGATTTTCTTTACAGTTTTTTAATTATCTACTTTGTGTTTTTGCAATATATGAATGAGTGGTAAGGTTGCCAATGCTGTTACGTAATAAATCATTAAAACCATTTAGTGGTAATGATTTTAGTATCAGTTTTACTATCAGTACTCTGCCATTGCTTAAATGCTACATTTCCATAAGTCCATAAACTCCTGCACTAAAAAAACTTTATAATACCTCATGGGCATTAATTACATTGATGCAACATACATTCTGCATTTTCAAGCAAACAAGCAATCAATGCCATGAAATCTTTATAATTTTTGTATTTTTGTGATGTATGCGTACACATACATTATGAGTATGTGACACATTAATTGTAATACACCATATAGGTTAAAGAGTAACAATCTTTGATAAATTGACTTTGACGTTAAGATTGAACAATAATCTTTTTTAAACATGTTGGTTTTTATTAACACTTACAAAGTCTTTTTTTCCTAGCACCATTCTCAAAAATTCATCACTTTGATAAAAGTTAATCGCTAAATTAACTGTTCTGGTGAAAGTGGGTTTCCAGTTTTTTTTTCTGGCAATGATAGAATTCCATGCTCATTTTTAACTTTTCTTGCAATTTGAATAAGATACTCAGACACTTCAAAGTAGCTTGATATCTTTATACATATCCATGATTTTGGTGTGAGTGTTAACACTTTCACCTTATGTCAGTCTCTGAATTTTTTTATTTTATTTCATAAATTAAAATGTCTAGATCATGGTCATTGTAAATATTTTTGTTTGAAATGGGGGGTTTTATTTCTGTTGTTAAAGAGGTTATTTTAATGTTATGTGCTTATGAGACCATTTTTGCAACTCTGTCAATATTGTTCTCAAACTTTTGTTTTGCTGCAGGCAATTTGCTGTGTTTTGAAATACTTTTTAGTTTGACTGGTGAAACTCTAGCAATTCTATAGTCGTATCTAACTTAATTTTTTTTCTCACTTTTTGATTTCCATTCCTCATGTTGATATAAATCTCCATCTGTTTCTACTGCTTTTTTATAACATTTACTGCATAATTTCCAACATTTTTCTGATGTCACATTTCTCCATATTAAACATGTTTATTATTTAAAATATTACTTACCAATAAATACAAAAATAATAAAATTCACAACCATGCTTTAATAAAATACAAACAAGTAATGTACAACCTTAAAGAATAAAACAAAACATTTGCTTGTTTTTGATATAATAAGATTTTGATATAATAAGAAGTATTCACTGAATTAAATTGAAATAATAAAAAAAATGTTTTTCAAACTTAAACTACAAAAAAAAAATATGTTTTTAAATTGAATTTTAATATTTATCATTATATTATTTAATGCATTAAAAAAAAAAAAAAATCAGGGAGATTAGAAGGGGGAGGGGGTGCAGAATTGGTCAGAAGCCCCCTGGACTTTCCTTGGCCTATGACTATAAACGTCCTTTAACTAGTCAATAAATAACACTATTTAGTGTTTTATTCAAATAAATGTTTTAAAAAACATTTCAATTGCTTTCATTTTTACCTCACTGCAAGTGAGGTAAAATTGAACAAATTCTGAGACATAAGAGTGTCAAAAATGTTTTTTTTTTGGATGATTTCATATGAAATTACCCTAGTATAATCACAATTTTATGGCCAATACCTTCCTTAAAGCCCAAAAAAAAATTATATAACTGAAATTGACACTAAAATGCTCAGATTGCAGTTGAAAGGTTGGTCATAATTGACCAACATCTGCTAAACTATATTCATCTGTCTGGTGAAAGAAAAACAAAAAAAGTTCAGCTTTAAAGCAAATAAGAGAACAATAATATCAAGGTTTTTAAAAGAAGTTTATATCCTTATCTTATTAAATCAGATATCATTTTTTCAGACCAAGCATGTAACTGCTGAATAGTAAAAAAAAATTTGTTTATAAGTTGAGCCAACTTATAAACAAAGTATAGGCCAACGACCCTTAACATTTGTTATGGCTTAATATAAACTCTAGTTTGAAGCAAATCAAGATGAACCATATTATTGCACACAATAATATGGTTCATCTTGGTTTTGTGCTTTGCATATTTTTTTGAATGCAATCTAGATTTTTAATAAGTTAAGTTACTACCAAATTTATTTGCAACATTTGTGACCCAGATATCATATAACTTAGTCAATGATAGCCTTGATAAAAAATTCAAATAAAAATCAAAATATATATGTTCATATATGTATATAATATTATTATTATTAATAATAATATTATTATTAACATTTTAATTACAAAGTTTTAATTACATATTATCATATGTAATTAAAACTTTAACTTTCCTGTCAGTGCATAAATATCCAACTGTTGTTTTGATATTAATATTTGTTTATTGAAACTAATTTTTTTACTAATGTGATAATTATAAATTTATTATTATCTTTTTTTTGAGTTAAAAAATTAAAAGAATTAAAGAGATTTTAAAGAACTTTTTAGGAGATTTTAGAGGAAAACTTGGGAAAATAAATTAGGATTTTTTAGGAAGATTTTAAAATTTTTAAAACTAAATTTAAATAATATTCAAAATTTAATAAAATGTTTGAAAGTTAAAGTTGAATGTTTAAAAGAAAACCTAAAGTTCAAAAAAATTAGGAGATCATAAAGAAAAATTAGGAGATAATATTGTAGGAAAATTTTTGAAATTCAAGTATATTTTATGAGAATTAAGATCTTATATTAAGAGGCATGGCCACCCTGAATTAAGATTGAAATTTTTAATTATTATTAATAATAAAATATTGTTATACTATATCCTTATATTTTTTCGTATTTATTAGTTGTTATAATTAATAATAAACTATAATCATATTATCAAATACAACAATCATACCTGACAGATTGATCAAATCATACTTCACTTATGAAGTTATTTTAATGATTAGAATAACTTTTTAAGCAAACTCATTTTTTATTTTCATAAGATTAAGCTAATTTCATTAAAAAGATAAGCTTTAAAGACTTGGTTGGAATATTATGATTATGAGTTCACTAGACTTGTTGCCTTGAAAAACAGTGCAATACTTTACGCTTAAAAGCTACTTGATTACTTCAAATTTAACTTTAATTTTTTTCAAATTCAAATTTACTTCAAATTACTTCCAAATGTTTATTTCAAAATTCTGAAAGCGTTGTTTAAATTTAATCTGAAAGCATAATTTTAAACAAATGCGCGCATGCCTCTATTTCAAAACCAACGAATCATTTTGCGCCATTTTAAGGTATTTCTGAGTCTGTATAGGGTTTCAAAATATGCGTCCCGTTTGTGGGCAAATCGCAACAAACAATGTCAAGAGACATATTTTTGACAAAATAACGTTGTTGAGAGACGAACTATGCATCAGCAGTCTAATATCATAAATCATTTCGATAGAGAATTCAACGACGAGTCTAACAGTGCAAACACTTTGAATGGCTGCTGTATACTTTGTCTTTAGATTGGTAAAACCTGTCAAAAATGTTATTTATTAACACAAACCCAAACGTGTACGCTGTAATCAAGTGAAGTATCCGCCGAGTTTTTAACATCCTGATTTGCAGCCAATATTTTTTTTATATCCCCATATAATTATATTTGTAACCCCAACCATCAAAGTTGTACGCTGGATGCAATAGAAGTATCCGCCTAAAACAGTTTTTATAAACCCTGATCCACAACTGTTAAAACACAAGACCCGACTTTTATTAAATTTTGTCCCGATTTTGCTTAGGTAAATGTAAAAAAAAACCCGACATTTTTAAAATAATTGTGGTTTCACTATTTCAATAAATCAATATTTCGCTAGATTTTAGTGAAATAGGCGTTGGATGCAATTGGAGTCAAAGTAACTGTCTGTTGGCCATAATACCGATAGTATTTTGCAGGGTTTTTATAGCATGTAAACTAATTTTTTCTTACATATGTTACACATGAATTTAGGTAAGTTTTTTGTTTTTTTTTTATCCATTTCGGGCTAAATAAGCCGTAAAAAAGACATTTCTAAACTTCTTATGAAGGTTTTTAAAGTCTTCAGAACGAATTTTTTCGGCCGTGTGCTCACTAGGTTGACGGTAGGTATTATGTTTTTTTATTCTTTAATAATTGGTTGTTTTTAGTTACACAGGGTGGCCCAAAAGTCGCGCTACCATTAGAAAAATTCACCACAATCCTCCTTATAATTTTTATTTTTTTTCCTTTCAGATATTAACACTTCAACCCTTGGAGACTTGTTATGGAGAAATTTAGCACAGCCCAAAGAACAAAAATCGTAGATATATTATTTTGATAACGTGTAAATTTATATATATAATATAAATTCTAATAATTATAAAGGAAAGCACGATTTACATCTAGGTATTTCGAGAGGTGTTGCTGTTTTGCAGCACGCGAATGAGTTAACAGCTTTTGACAAAAAAAACTTTCAAAATAGCAAATACATCTTATAATTATTTCTAACAAAGTGGCGTGAACGCCATTTTAGACTTTAAGAGATACTTAAAGTTTTCGAGAAATTATAACGACAAAGGTAAGCAGACATTTTATAAACAGTGATGAATAATTTAATCTGATTATTTAAATTTAACATTGTCTATTCAACATTTAGGCGTTTCAAATCACTCATCTAATGTTTTGTACATATGGGAGAAAATCGATCCTAGTTTAAAAACTGTGCCTAAGTGCCTGTTAGCCGATGCTAATATGTAAGAAGATTTCTATGCTGCTCCTTTAATCGAAGTAATTAAAGAGCAGCAATCATTACCGATGTATTGTCAGTCCTCGCACATTCAACCGAGACCCTTATATCAAAGCTATCTTCAGTTATTTTAAATCTAGATTTTTTAAAAGCTAGGACTTGATATGCCTGCTTAACATGTATGATGACATCGAATTTGTAAAAGCTGAAGAAAAAGAAATAAAAAACTCGGTAACGATCTTTAGTAAAAAAAAAAATAGACCAAAACGTTCGTATTTATAAACAAGCAACCGTACTCACGGAGATTGTAAAGACATATTTTTCATCTGAACATGTGAAAAAAATGAGAAAATTACTGTCAGGCAATGTATAACTGTCCAAAACGGAGTGCATCGATGTACGCGATTACCTTATGGTATTTATATGCTTAATAAATGCAACACGGTCTTCCAATCTCATTTTAATATCCATTGAAGATGTCAAATGTCAAAAAAAAAAAACTTGAAAATGGCTGGGTCATCCAAAATAAACTATATTAAACAAGTATGTTGTATGGCAATAAAATCATACTTTTAGCTGAAACCCTCAGGGATGAGCTATTAAAATACCTGAAATATCCCAGAAGTGTTATTAATACAAAAATAGGGTGTTCCCCAGAGGACCCTGTCTTCATTTCTAGTGGCTCAGATGTACTGACTCATTCCGCAATTGCAAACGGAATGAGCACATTTTTCAGAAAATCGAAAGCCTTGTTAGATGTTGACAGTGAATTCAATAACGATCGTGTTTGCCTGACAAAAATCAGAATAAGTATTGCGACATGTGTTCTTGGTGACGAGAATGTAAATAGTTTTGCTCGTGTAAGTGCTATATTTTAATATCATACACTACTATTATATAAAAAGAACTATTTATAACAGTATGATCTTTAACAGAACTACATGACAAACAGAAAAACAAAACAACTACAACACTGAAGTTTTACGTGACCCGTTTCGCTTTAATAACAGCCGCCTTTCATAACTAGAGAGTAAGAACTTAATTTGTTGTATTACAAAAAAAATGCCCTGGAAGTAAAACCAACACCTTCCGATGTTAAAGGTAAGTAAGAAAACAAGCATAGACTTTTATTATTTAAACATAGGGTTTATTTTTAAACAAAGTCAATAGAATATAACTATGGTCTGGAAGTCTATTGTTGTTTAGCTGAAATAAATAGTTTATTAATCACGTGACCGAAGAGTGTGCAAAACATGGCATTAAGTAGCGCAGGATTTAATAATAGATATTCAGTATGAAGGTCTTTTCGATGAAAAATTTATTATGCCCAAATTTGAAACAAAACAAATAAAAAATATAACAAATTATGAAATTGGTGCCTTACAATATCTGGCTAGGTATGTTATCAAAATGTTTATAAAAAAAATCGAAAAACAGCCTAAATTATAAATCTGATGAAAATCAAAATATAATAAAAGTATTAAATAACACTATTAGCAATATTTCTTCTGATCAGGAATTTAGTCAGTCGTGGTGGACTTACAGCTGTTAATAATGAATGATAGCAAATATTTGTGAAAGCTGGAATTCAATTTCGATAATAAAACAAATATTAAACATTTGCAAGAAATTAACATTAGCAGAATGACTGTGGAACTACTGAAAGATACAGAAGTAGTGAGCTTTTATAACCCTATCAGGATGCGGAGTTGATATAGATAATGATGTTTGTAAAAACCTTTTAAAAAATATGATAAAACTTTACTTTCGAGTGCGAGCATTTTCTATGGTATAGACATAACAACCAAACATAAACTAAAATTTGAAAAAAAAAAAATCATGGTAGACTTCGTAAAAAGCTTAAAAAACAATTCAAAGAGTAACAAGGATGTTGTAAAATTGTATTTGTCACTTGTTATGTGTTTAGTTTTATTAATAAAATTATGTATCTTAAAATATTGTTAGTTATTTTCATATGTTCCCAGATTCTCTTGCTTTTTTTTCTTGCTCTTGTACCTTTTTCCTAATGGTTCACTAAAAGTGATTCTCCGTGATACTTTATGCTTTTGTATACGAGCTCCTATGGTATTCGTAGTAATAGGTGCTACAGACCGTTGCATTCTGATAGCATTTGATTGGTATCCCAACTGAATGAGGGTAGGGTTGTCATTTCGGCGACCAAAGCTGCAATGGCTCCCAAAGTATTTCTCCAGGACATCCTGGGTAAAACGTTCAGTCAATACAAAAGGCATTCCGCTAGTTAATTAAAACTTAGTAGCTTCATTTAATGAATTCACAATTATATAAAGACCTTCGTATGGTTGTAATGAAATAATATTTTTTCACGTTTACCCCGATGAAAATTCCCAGTTCTATTTTTAATATTTTCAAGCCAAGTTTCAAAGTATTTTGAAAAGGTGTTTTTCAGCCAATCAAAGCGAATTGCGGTAGGGCAACAAAAATTCTTTTTTTTTTCAAAATGCCTTCCGTTCGATTACGAGTAATTGTACAATCAAAAAATTTATTTATTAATTCACATAATTGTGCTGTCACATCGGTTTATGGTAGATACTTTAAACGTAAGACATCTGAAACGCTTTGGCTAAGAATTTGAGCTGCTAAGCAAATATTCATGACAAAAAAAGAATTTAATTGAACATGTTCCAAGGGTAATTTAGGCAGCAACTTTAAATCTCTAATAATATCATCATTCACTAGTTTCACAAAATAACTCCATATAACTTATTGTTCATTCTATACATTACGTGTATGATTTTTACAATGTCCAGAGTGATGCAACGAATTTCTTAATGTTTTTATAAGATCTGGTGCATCAGAAAAAAATATATGTAACGGTCTGCGAATATATTTTGAGAACGGTACACAGCAAATGATTCAATGTTTTCCATGCCTTTGTGCATTTTGTAGAACAATCGATTTGGAGAAGCACCGTCAGACACAGCAGCTATTACTTTAAGAGCACAATCTAGTTCTAACACAGACACTGATTTCCAAAAAGTAGACATAATTGACTCACAGTAATACCTTAAGTAGCAAAATATGCCAAAGCAAACTTTAAATCGGAAGCAACACCTTTGACATAATAAACTAAGCAATGTAAAGCAAGGTCATCAATGTCTTTGGCAATGGCAGAGTAAGTATCATGGAAATCCTAAGTTCATCATTTGCAGATGCTGATTTCATGGAAAGGGATAAGCAGAATCTGATAATCATAGGATGTTACTTTAAACTCTTCTGATAAGTAGAAGCTTCTTTTTGCTCTTTCCAGAATAATTTTATAAATAGAGTCATATTCTGGTTGTTAGAATCCATAATATCATTTATATCATTAATAAAATCTTTGTTGAGTTCCACACCCTTTGAATTAACTTCTTTTCTCATCCGATTAATTTTTTTTTTACTTTGGTTTTAACTCGTTCTTGTTGTCATGCAAAAACATTTTGTTTTTAGATGTTTTTGTTAGAGGAGCTTTTAACTTTGCTGCAGCTTTATCAATCTTAATTTTAGATTTAAATTGTTTTTTCGTTAATAATTTAACTTTTTTACAAACATCACATTCACTTTCTTTATGCAAAACCCTACAATCTTTATGTCTTTTCATTTCTTTATATTGCATGGGAGATATTGTATCAAGGTCGTAATCATAAAGTATAATATGTTTTAATACACTGGAATTTATTATTTCTTGTTCAATTCTTCTGCAAACATCGAAAAGTGATATTTTTTGCAGTAAGCTGTGGATTAATACATTTGTCATACTTCGTTTAAAATCTTTGTAAATTATATGATCATCTGGAAGTTTCCAACTAAACACTAAACATGTACACTCCAAAGAATCATTTACAATCACTTCTCACTGTAATAAAGAGAATGGTTATCATAATTTTTAAACTGAACAATTTGTTTGATATCATCAATTGTAATCTGCCAGTTATATGCATTCTTTAATATTGTTATATAAAACACAAAGTCTTTGCAGTTCTTTGCAGTAACAATTAGCTTTTTTGGTTTACGGTTTATTAATATACATTTGGTTTACGGTTTATTAATAAACATTTTCAAGCTTTCTTCGCTCAACTGTATAGGTTGCGTATGATTTCACAGGTAAATTCAATGTTGGAACTGAACCAAGTTTTAATGTTTTGCGACCAGATTCTATATATATATATATATATATATATAGAATATATATATATATATATATATATATATATATATATATATATATATATATATATATATATATATACACACACACAAAACACTCACACATTTACATATGTATATATATATATATATATATATATATATATATATATATATATATATATATATATATATATATTTATATATATATATATATATATATATATTTATATATATATATATATATATATATATATACAGGGGCTATTCTAGGAAAATAATTTGGGCGGCGGTACCCCTCTGCCTCACTCCCCCTCTTAAAATTTAAGTAATGGGGGGGGGGGCGAAACATGTTTAGAAAATTTCAAAATTTTTGTTTTTAGATAAACAAAAATTTAGTTAGTTTTTAGCTTTATTATTATGTTTAAATGTATTTGAAATAATTCACTATAATTCATTCCTGTTAAAATGATCTGTTACATAAATTTTATAAGGAAGTTGCTACCTAAAAATAAATATTGCACAGAAGTTTCACTGAAATAAAAATAAATTAACAAATAGCCAAATTACTTTAAATTTACTAGATTGCAAATGTTTATGGGGAAAAAAACCCACATATTTACTGCAACAAACTTACTAATCTTATTGAGTACATAACTTATATGTATAACTTCCATGAATAAAATAATTATTGTATGAAACTGCTGTTGATGTAGTTAATAAAAAAAAATCTTTAAAATAATTATTGCCATATTTTTGCCGAAAATTAAAACAAATAAATATAAGCTAAATAAAAAAACATTACTACTTTAATCAACCTAAATGCGTTTACTAATGTACGAACTTTAAAAACAATGGTACTGGTGGTCCGGTGAATATACGCGCTAAATTAAAAAGTTTTGTCCAAGTCTCTTCAAAATAAAAAACCATAAATTAATACGCGTTTCACCAGATTAAGTTGTGACAATCGTTATTTTAGAAGATAAAATTCAAAATTAAAGAATGCCTTAAAAAATTAATTTAAAATTAAAAATCAAAATTAAAGAAAACCTTAAAAGTCTAAGGTACACCTAAAACATTTTTCTGACGAACATTTTTTTTCATAAAACATTATATATAAGAACATTTATTATATACATAAAGATTAGTTATATAATTCCAAAAAAAAGAAAGTTATATAATTCAAAATTTTATAGAAAGTTAGATTATAAAAAAGGAACTCTTCTATTTTTTCTATCTTTAAAAATTGAGTAGTATCTTTCATAAACATCTTCGCTTTGCTCTTCTATTAACGGGCCTGTTCGGTTAATTCGCATGAATTTGTCAAGATTTTCATTACTCATTGATGTTCTTAATGAAGAGCATAACAAGTTCATCGCTGAAAATCCTCTTTCAACATTGGAAGTGGATGGTGGGATAAGCAATGATATTCTAAATAATCGCATAATATTTGTATAACGCATGATTGCACCTTCCTTACTCATATGTTGATACACTGCTGCGGAACTTGGCCCGTTTTCACAAATATACGCTTGTGCGTTTTCTTTCTTAAGCGATCCGTCTTCAACTTTTTTTTTTACAAGAGCTTTAAGTTTATTTTTTAAAACTGCCACAACCCCATCAAATTCTTCAAAAAAAACATTCCCTTCTTCTTCACAATCTCCAGGTGAAACAATTGCAGGTGCAATGTTTTTGTGTCCTTCATAAGAATCTGCGCGCTCAAATCCATAAACAGAAACAAGCTCATTTAATTGGTTTGTCCGGCTTTCTTTTGAAGTGCTTTCAGGGTTGAACATATCAAAATTATTTAGGAGAGTATTATTTTCTGTCATGACACTTTTAACTTCTTTTATAATATCATCTAAAAATGGATATCCAACTTTTATAAAAAACAAGAAATCGTGCAAGTTATATCATCTGAGGATGTAGTTACGGACACTTTAGAACGCATATTTCTTGTTAGTTCGTTTCGTAAAGACGAAATTTTTAAAAAGTTTGAAGCATTTTTGAAATACTTTAGCGTTGTGTCAATAGCATCAAAACGTTGAAGATTAATTTTTATTTTATTAAAATTTGAAATAAGCTTTTTAAAATTTCCATCAACTGACACAAAATTTAAATTCTTTGTTTTCAAATATCTACACAAAATATTAATTGGCGACTAAACTTCGGCTAATAAGAGCATCATTAGAATCATGTCTGGAGATAATATGGCGTCACGAATACCTTTAGACTCAGGATCTTTTTTTTCATGAAATATTGCGTCTAATGCATCAAGTAGTGGTTCGTACCTAGATATAACTCGGACACATGTTTCCCTATGTGAAAGCCATCTTGTAGTACATGCTTTTAAGATCTTTAAAGGTTTCACTTCAAATTTGCGCAGCTTCAAAAATTGCTTGTTTGATAGAGCTATACTTAAAATGCTTCCAAATTGCAATTAATAGTTTATCAAGTAAGGCAAGAGAGTCATACTTTTTAACTAGGTGAACTAAACAAAGGGCGAGACGGTGATTCCTGCATTTTAAATATATGCTATAAGGAGAAGCATGTCTTAAAAGTCGTTGTAAACCACTCCGCTTACCACCCATTGCATTTGTGCCGTCGAGTCCGCAAAACTTCATATCCGTTATTTAATTTTTTTTTTCACTCAAAAATTGTTTGGTTATGTCAAAAAGTGCTTCAGAAGTTTTTGAACAACCAATTTGAGCTATTCCAAAAAATGTTTCCGTCGGCAAATAATCAGTCATATCTATATAACGAGCAAATATTGCTAGTTGTGATCGGTCTGCTTCATCAGTGCTTTCATCTGCAAGTAATGCGTAATCCACGCTTGCTGTTATATCAGTGAGAACTTTAAGCTCCAATTCATTACTAATTATATCTATGTACTCTTGTACAATGCAGTTAGAAGTATATAATGCATTCCTTTGATTGTTTATGAAATGATTTAATATATCTTGATCCCCGATGTTTTGAAGGAAATCAATAAAGTCTGAGAAATTTTGCTTAACGGCCCAATTTTTTTTAGCGAGAAAATATGCAGCTTAAATAAATTTAAT